CTGTTCCCACTGAGCCTTTGCGACAACGCACTGCTCTGCTTCGCCTTTTACTGATCCTTCTGAGCCTTGGCGACAACGCACTGCTCAGCCTCGCCTCTCCTAGATCCTCTCGAGCCTTCGGTGGCTTCGCGACGACGCGCTGCCCCACCCCACCTCGTTTCCAAGCCCCGCCCGTCCCCTATCCTCAAGCACACGCTCCAGGTAGCGGGATCAACCACCGCTCAAAGTACCGATCCACCAAGATCCATCCTGGGACACCGGGCAGACATTGGTGGCTCACACCAAACCCAGCGCGGCTACGGCATTGCCTCGTCTAGTCTCGCCCCTCGCCTGAAGTCCCCACAACAACTAAAAGTTTCTTGTAGCCGACCCTGGACAGACTGAGTTTACCCCAGCCTGAAATAGGTTCCTCAAAAGTGGCGCCCGAGCAGGGACTTTAGGGAGATTTTATTCGAGGCGAAGCCCTACTGAAACGAAGCGACCAAACACTTGCTTTAAGTACAGTCGAAACAAAGTACGAAGAGCAGCCAGATACAGAAAACATGCGCTTGGTGTAAATATACCAGAACCTACACACAAACATACGCCCGCACCCTAAAAACTTGCGCCGCACACCGAAAACACAACATACACGCGCAAGTACCGCAAAATCACACACACAAACACACATATTGGAGATCGCGAACAACCAACGCTACAGTGCCAATCCAAAAATCATCGTAGTACAACACTACAGTGCCCGTCAGAAAAGTCATCGCAGTACCACGCTACAGTGCCAGTTCGAAAAGTCATCGCAGTACAACAATACAGTGTCGGTACGAAAAACATCGCAGTACAACGCTACAGTGCCGGTCCAAAAAGCCAAGTTCAAGTCAAACATTCCCGAACCAAGTACAGTGCCGGTCCGAGAAATCATCGCAAGGCAGATACAGTGCAAATCTTAAACAGAATAAAATTTCGACGCATTTCCATTGCCAGTGCCGAAAATCAAACCGTGCGGAGATAAATTAAGAACTGGAATAGACAAGACAGTAGTGCGGGTAAAACTACACTAGCCAGCAATAAATACCGCTACGCCTACCCTCCATTTTTACGAGGACGAGCTCTACATCCAAGCATGGATCAAAGAACCAACGGTGACCAGAGTGAGTATTAGCCTGCATAAATAATAAGAATCCTGGGGTGGGAACCGGATGGATACATCAACGCCGTCGAGACGAACTCGAAGCATTCGCCGACGAGTTCGGGTTCGCCAAGGAAGGCACCGTGGATGACCTGAGAAGGGCTTTCGCTACGTTCGTCGAAGACAAACTCACTCGTGACGTCTGGATCCGATTGGCGGAACTTGAAGGACAGTATTCCAAGTCTCTTGGACGCTCCACATCACCGCAGCCAAGCGCCAAAACATCACAGGAGAAGAAGAAGATCCTCGATCACAAACTTGGCATACCCGTTCCTCCACCAGCGGCGGCCAAAAACAATGTGCCACCTGTAGTCCTGATATCCGAGGGAGGTTCACCAAGGTTTCCGGTCGCCGGAAGCCAGTCCGATACCCATAAGGAGAGCTCTGCCATTTCCGGACGAAACCAGCAGACACACTGAGCCTGGGAACCACCACAACACTTCGTACTCCCACGCCTTCCAGATGGCGGACAGTATCAGGCACTGGGGCATCCAATTCAACGGGCACGATGATCCTTTAGAGAACAAGCGGTGTGCGAGTGGTTTAAGGATTTCGTCATCGAGATCCGCCTCCTAATGTAACACGAAGGGTATTATACGACCCAAGAACTCAACCGCATCTACGACAATACTTTACCAGGATACCAACTGTACGTGAGGAGACACGAACTTCGAACTCTGGCCCAGCTAACACAGTTAGCCGTAGAGTTTGAAAGCATTCAGGAACTGACCGACACCGGAAACTGGAACTCACCAGAAGCGAAGTCACCTCAGAGTACATCAAGACGCACCAGACCCACTCCGAGCACAGAGAACTGGAAAGAAACCCGACTTTGAACCGGTTTCGCCAAGACTCCTATAATCGGACAGATCTCACTAGTCAACCTGGCCCAACGCAACGCATTATACCTAGTAAAGAGATCTCCAACAAAATGATTCAGCACGACGCATCCCCCATTGCCAACGTGCGCACGGCATGTCGGCATGGTGGCAAGCTGCCAAAATAACTCTATCCTATTTTGTTGGGAATGCGGAAAACGAGGCATCAGATGCTGCAAACGAGAAACGTCGGGAAACTAGGTGCGTCCTCGACTGCGACGGGAACAACCGAGAACGACGCCATCCTGAACCCAAGATCAAAAAGACCCTTACACATACATGACGGCGATGGTAAAAATTGAAGGAAGACCCACAGAAGCAACCATAGACACAGGGAGCAACCAGAAGTTTCGTGAACCAAGCTCTTGCCGAGAGGTTAATTACAGACACAAATTTACGAGACGCGTTAATTCAGATCCATCTAGCCGACGGGTCAGTGAGACCCATTACTCAAGTCCTACTCGCATCCACTCAACTACATATGCGCGAGGTACGGATAACCCGTTTGGTATTACCAAGCATGGTGGAGAGTGTTATCTTGGGGATGGACTTTCTGTGCGCCATAGAAACCACAATACAATGCGGAACCACTCGCCTACATCTACGAGGCGTTTGCATTAATGACAACGAGCCGATGACCACCGCCAGACATGTGATAACCCAAGGACCCGAGAACAAAATCCAACGACCCACAACAGAGAACCCAACTACGACATCCTCAACGGAGAACAAAATCCGAAGACAAACAATCATGGCTCCGCAATCGTCAACAGAGAACGCAAACGCAAGACAACCAACAGAGAACCCAACCACGACATCCTCAACGGAGAACAAAATTCAAATGCAAACCACCATGGCTACGACATCACCAACAGAGAACGCAAACGCAAGGAAACCAACAGAAACCCCCGCTACGACAAAGAGCAAGGATCAAAAACAAGCAACAGAGAACACGATAACGAGGATAACAACAGGAAACACAAACACGATGGTTTCCACAGAGACCACAAGCACGAGAATGGCCACCGAGACCACCATCACGAGAACACCCACAGCGAGCACGAGCAACTGTCACGAACGCTCGGACAAGGATCACTAGTTTAAGGACCACAAGGGAACCGAGGGACATATACGCTGCACCCATCATATCCAACATTTCCGAGTACCCCACCCGACCAGACCATCCAAGCGCATTCGACACGACAATTCTTCCCGATCACTCTATTGAAACCGCCGACATAGAAATGAACATACATGCCGAAGACGAACCCGAACTAGACGTACAGCCCTGGCCTCCAGACATAGCACAACACATCCGCGAATTTCTTTCCGAAGAACTCCAAAGTTCGAAACCAGAACATACCATTGTCATGAGGGACAGTCGCCCGATAAAACAACGGTATTATCCGAAGAATCCGGCCATGATGCGCATCATAGATGAACAAGTCGATCAATTGTTGGCGAGGGTCTCATTGAACCATCACGAAGTCCTCACAGTGCCCCAATTGTGCTCGTTCGCAAGAAAAACGGAAAGTGGCGAATGTGTGTAGGTTTTCGACAACTCAACGAACGCTCTATTCCGGACGCCCACCATTGCCAAAGATAAACTATATCCTAGAACGACTCCAGAATGCTCACTACATAACGACATTAGACCTGAAAAACGGATATTGGCAGGTACCAATGGCCGCCGCTAGCCGGGAAGCCACCGCTTTCACGGTACCCGGAAGAGGTCTTTATCAATGGAAGGTAATGCCTTTTGAATTCCACTCCGCCCCAGCCACGTTCCAACGGACCCTTGACACAGTTATCGTGGCGGATATGGAACCATTCGCGTTCGCCTATCTGGACGATATTGTCATCGTTGGAAAGGATTTCGCGGAACACCTACAACACGTCCAGAAAGTCTACGTCAGGCTAATCTCCGTATCAATGCGGACAAATGTACGTTTTTCCAACGCCGGAGAAAATACCTAGGGCACATGGTTAGCGAGGAAGGAATTCATACCGATCCGGACAAAATAGCGGCGGTTAAAGATCTTCGACCACGCGCCACCCTCAAAGACCTACGGCAATGCATAGGGATGGCGTCGTGGTATCGCTGGTTTGTACCAAATTTCGCTACGGTAGTTCAACCAATGAAACAACTTCTCAAGAAGGGACGAGCATGGACATGGACACGGGAACAACAGGACTCATTCGACAAACTAAAAGAACTACTAACCACCGCTCCAGTACTTGCTTGCCCTGACTTCAGCGCTAAATTTTCACCTCAAACCGATGCATGCAACCTCGGAATAGGTGCCGTCCTCACGCAGGAGATCGAAGGGAAGGAGAGGGTTATAGCATATGTGAGTCGACGCCTTAATAAGGCAGAAGAGAACTACTCGATCACGGACAAAGAATGTTTGGCAGTCATATGGGCAATTAGAAAGCTACGTTGTTACCTCGAAGGCTACAGATTCGACGTAATTACCGACCATCTCGCCCTTAAATGGTTAAATACCCCTGACAGCCCGTACGGCAGAGTGGCGAGATGGGCACTCGAGCTCCAGCAGTACCAATACGATGTACATTATCGGGCAGGAAAACAAAACGTCGTGGCGGACGCACTGTCCAGACGCACTGTCCAGACTGCCCTGGCTAAAACGCAGGACACAACAAGTTCAAGACGAACCCCAGAAATACCCGGATTACGCACAAGAGAACGGACAACTCTATCGAAACATACGGCACGGAACCGACGATGACGATTATGTGGCTTGGAAGCTTTGTGTACCCACAGACCGTCGCTGGAGAGTGCTGCACGAAGGCCACGACCAACTCACCGCCGGACATCTCGGCGTGCGAAAGACGATCACCAGTCTCACACAAAGATACTACTGGCCGGGTATGTACCGAACGTGAGACGATACGTCAGTTGTCAAAAGTTTAAGGCCATGCAACAAAAACCCGCCGAGAAGATGCTCACCCGCCGACCCGAAGAACCATTTGCAACCCTGTGTGCCGACTTCGTGGGACCGTTCCCGCGATCCAAACAAGGTAACACTACTGGTATTCTTCGATGCCTTTTCCAAGTGGGTCAAATTAGTCCCGCTCAAGAAAGCAACAGCAAAAATTGAACGAGCCTTTCGGGAACGAATCCTCAGTCATTTTGGAGTACCGAAGGTGTTCGTATGCGATAATTGAACCCAGTTTACCAGTTTATCGTTCAAAGCCTTTCTCAAGTCGGCAGGAGTAGCGCTCCAACATACAGCACCCTACTGTCCTCAAGAAAACCCCACAGAAAGGGCAAATAGGACTGTGAAAACGATGATAGCTCAGTTTGTAGAGGAATATCAAAGCACCTGGGACGCATTACTACCAGAGATGTCATTAGCCATCAACTCCAGTATCTCCGACAAAACTGGCTTCAGCCCAGCCTTCTTGCTACACGGTAGAGAACCCCGGCTGCCCGGCGCTCTATACGACGAAGTCACGCCTGGAACTGGAAGCCCCCCGGAATCAGCCCTGTCCAAAGCAACCAGGCTCAAGGAAGTATTTGCCATCGTCCGCAACAATATCCAACAAGAAAGCCAGGAACAAGGACGCTACTATAACCTACGTAGAAGAAAATGGCGCCCTACCATCGGATCTCCGGTTCTCGTGCGTCAACAGCACCTCTCCAACGCAGCCGACGGATTCGCTGCGAAGCTGGCTCCCAAGTTTGACGGACCGTACAAACTGAAGTGCTTCATCTTACCAAATGTCGTCCGACTCCAGCACCAGAGCAACCGAAAACAAAGAGTAGCGAACATAGCGGACCTCAAGCAGTTTCACGACAACGAGGACATCGCAGACCAGACCAGCCCGAACGACCACAACCAGACCCTACTAAAGTAATAAGCCAAATAATCCTTTATTATCTCTACTTTGCATCGCTATTATGACCACTCATTAGTAAGTTGGTAAGCATGTTAGTAGGAAATTGTAAGGCTACACCACAGAAACCAATAATAATATGTAGGACGGAATCACATAATCCATCTATTTCCCTAATATAGAACTAAGCTCCCGCAGCCGCCGACATGGATTCGGGTTAGGAAAACTCCTCCGAGACTCTACCAAGAAACGTGGAACTTGACGATGACGACCGGGATACTGAACTCGCAACCGACGACCACCAAGCAATGGAGTTCTCCGATGAGGATTCCACCGAGAACGACATCCCCACGTCAACGCACTTTCGGACCCATCGTGCCAAACCCCCACCCCGACGAGCAGCGGGTAACCCGACCGCCTGGGTTGACCTGACGTCATCTCCGATGTCTACAGATGATCCACCCGTTTGTCGCCCAGCCACACCACCGCTGTTCTCATGGCGTACCACCTATCCGTCCTATCCACGTGCCGGCCCCGACTCACCACGCTACGCCCCGGAGTCACCCTCTTACGCCCCACGAACGGCACCGTATGTCCCCGGACCCGCCGACGTATACCCCTTACCGGTCACCCCGATATGCTGAGACTACGGATGAAACCGAAGAAGCATCCCGTCATAGACGCGACCCCCGGCTCGGCAAGAGTGTATCGTCCGGTAACACCCGAACAAGGCCTGGAACCATACGTACCACCGCCACAAAATTGATACGACCAGGAAGACGACGATGAAGACTACTACACACAGGAGTTCATCTCGAGTGCCGAAACCTACCACCACATCGTCACACCTTGGGCCATGCGAGTCACCCAGAACTGCCGGATGACCGTTGACGTAACGATTCCACAATGGCGCAACGTGCAGGAATTCTTTAACACCTTCCGGGAACCCGCCGAAGCACTTCGAAACAGTCCAGCATACGAACCAGCCGAACCGGGACCAGACGTCGAACCGACGATCTCGGACGTAAATCTCCCACTCCGCGAAACGGATGACGAAGGCAGGGAGGCCCAGGATCTGGACGAGGACATTACTGCCAAACTCCCGAAACGGCGACGCACCGTGACCAGTCGCAAAACAGAGAGTAACCTCGCAAGCTGGGAGTCGGTATCCTCACTGGAGGATGAAGAGGGTCCTCGTTACCGGCGTACATACCCCACCCCGAGTCTCACAAGATCGGACGAGAAATGGGAAGTCAACAAGAGTGGGATGCCAACCCCACCCTGCAATCCCACAATATCCGGTTTCGGAGGGTCAAGCTGACTTCACAACAGGCAGACACGCCCAGGACTTGGGGTCACAGCAGGCCGAAACGCCCCAGGACTCGTGGTTACACAGACCCCAACTTCCACACGATAGCCCATGCGGCCGAGGACAGGCCATGAAACTATCACTGGTGACTGTAGAATGTCGATCGACAAAAACTTACAGCAGTTATGGAAGGTTGACTCAATCGGCGATTCAAGAGCTAAAATTCACCCAACTCATCGTCGCTGTGAGGAACTCTATAGGGATACAACACAGAAGGATGCCAGTGGGCGAATTGTCGTGCGCTTGCCATTCAAAGAAGACCCAAACTGTCTTGGAAATTCAGTCGATACAGCTCGCAATCGATTTTTTGCCAGTGAGAGACGTCTTGCTCGTTTACCGGAGATTCGCTCGCAATATCTATCGTTTATGCAGGAATATGAAAGTCTTGGTCACATGTCCATAGTACCGAAGCCAAACTTGGAGGAACCGCATTATTATATTCCTCACCATTTCGTTCTCAAGCCAAGCAGCACCTCGACGAAGCTCAGAGTCGTATTTGACGCTTCTTGCCGTACAACATCGCAGAAGTCACTTAACGATCTTCTTTTAGTCGGTCCGACCATTCAGGATGAGTTGTACCTGCAATTGCTACGATTCCGCATGCATAGGTTCGGCATCACTGCTGACGTCACTAAGATGTATAGACAGGTGCTTGTGGGGGAAGGATAGAAAAGTCCAGTATATTTTGTGGCGAACGTCCCCAAATGCCGAGCTTCAAACCTATCAACTCAATACCGTAACATATGGGACCGCGTCCGCCCCATACCTCGCAACTCGTAGTTTGCATCACTTGGCGGATGATTGTAAGGATAAGTGGCCCTTAGGAGCTGCGGCTGTTAAAAAGGCGTTTGATTTTGATGATCTGCTGGGAGGGGCGGATGAAATAGAAACTCTTCTCAAACTTAAAACAGAAATCACAGCTACCCTCGCTTATGGTCAGTACCTACCCCACCCCGAGTCTCACAAGATCGGACGAGAAATGGGAAGTCGACAAAGAGTGGGATGCCAACCCCACCCTGCAATCCCACAATATCCGGTTTCGGAGGGTCAAGCTGACTTCACAACAGGCAGACACGCCCCAGGACTCGGGGTCACAGCAGGCCGAAACGCCCCAGGACTCGTGGTTACACAGACCCCAACTTCCACACGATAGCCCATGCGGCCGAGGACAGGCCATGAAACTATCACTGGTGACTGTAGAATGTCGATCGACAAAAACTTACAGCAGTTATGGAAGGTTGACTCAATCGGCGATTCAAGAGCTAAAATTCACCCAACTCATCGTCGCTGTGAGGAACTCTATAGGGATACAACACAGAAGGATGCCAGTGGGCGAATTGTCGTGCGCTTGCCATTCAAAGAAGACCCAAACTGTCTTGGAAATTCAGTCGATACAGCTCGCAATCGATTTTTTGCCAGTGAGAGACGTCTTGCTCGTTTACCGGAGATTCGCACGCAGTATCTATCGTTTATGCAGGGAATATGAAAGTCTTGGTCACATGTCCATAGTACCGAAGCCAAACTTGGAGGAACCGCATTATTATATTCCTCACCATTTCGTTCTCAAGCCAAGCAGCACCTCGACGAAGCTCAGAGTCGTATTTGACGCTTCTTTGCCGTACAACATCGCAGAAGTCACTTAACGATCTTCTTTTAGTCGGTCCGACCATTCAGGATGAGTTGTACCTGCAATTGCTACGATTCCGCATGCATAGGTTCGGCATCACTGCTGACGTCACTAAGATGTATAGACAGGTGCTTGTGGGGGAGAAGGATAGAAAAGTCCAGTATATTTTGTGGCGAACGTCCCCAAATGCCGAGCTTCAAACCTATCAACTCAATACCGTAACATATGGGACCGCGTCCGCCCCATACCTCGCAACTCGTAGTTTGCATCACTTGGCGGATGATTGTAAGGATAAGTGGCCCTTAGGAGCTGCGGCTGTTAAAAAGGCGTTTGATTTTGATGATCTGCTGGGAGGGGCGGATGAAATAGAAACTCTTCTCAAACTTAAAACAGAAATCACAGCTACCCTCGCTTATGGTCAGTTTCCCTTATGCAAATGGCATTCCAATCATCCAGGCGTGATGGAAGATGAGTCTAGTAAAGAACTAAACACATCAGAGAATGAGAGTAGTAGCACACTCGGGTAACTTGACATCAACAAATTAGCGACGCCTCGATTCGGGCATACGGCTGCTGTATTTATGTGCGCACTGAGAATTCGCGAGGACAGGTTGCAGTGAAATTGTTCACGTCTAAGTCGAGAATAGCACCAGTGAAGAAACAGTCTCTTCCGAAGCTTGAACTGTGCGGCGCACATTTGCTCTCTCAGCTTTTGTACAAAATCAAGGATATATTCTCTGAACACAACATCACGTCATATTTTTGGAGCGACTCACAGCTCGTATTGCATTGGCTGCAACAACACTCAATCACTTTATCGACCTTTGTTGGGTATAGGGTTTCTGACATTCAGGAGATGACGTCTGGTGGGAAGTGGCGCTACGTAACAACATATCAAAATCCAGCTGATCTTCAGTCGCGAGGCTGCAACGTTAGCGAGCTTATCAAATCGATATGGTTTTCTGGTCCCTTATTTCTGCTAGAAGATTCGTTGAAATGGCCCACTTGGCATTGACATGGACGTGGTCAACTCGGAGAAGCGGAAAAGTATGTTCACCGCGGTACAGGAGAAAAATTATATCCTCGAGATAGGCGATAATGTCAGCTCGTACAGTCATAGTCTTCGTCTCATTGCCTGGATGGTAAGGTTCATTAGAAGATGTCGGAAGCAAATGACCTACCACATCCTCACCGACACCAGATGAGCTTCGTTTTGCTTCGCACTGCCTTAGTTGGAACATTCAACAAACTCATTTCACAGAAGATATTCGTTTACTTCAGAAGCGAAAACCATTGAAGAGTAGCTTGAAGTTTCTTACTCCCTTTTTTGAACTCGTAAATAGATTCGAGCTCGTCAAGGTTTGTGGACTATTGGAATATTCAGACCTACCAGACGGTCAAAAACATCCGTTGCTGCTGCCTAGCCAGTCTAAACTTGTTTGGAATTATATTCGTCACTTGCATATTCGCAACTATCATGCTGGACCTAAGGCCTTAGTCGCTCTCATTCGTTTGGAATACTGGATCGTTAACGCCAGAGAATTGGCACGTCGAATTGTCCGCTCCTGTGCACACTGTGTTCGCTACAGACCAAAGCTGCTGCACCAACTTATGGGCTCATTACCACCGTTTCGACTCTCTCCTGCCCGACCGTTTGAACGCTGTGGAGTGGATTTTTGTGGACCCATTAATACCTATCTACGGATTCGAGGAAAGGGGCCTACAAAATCGTACTTGGCCGTGTTCGTTTGCCTTCTCACCAAGGCCGTTCACATTGAAGTAGTTTCGCACTTATCGACGAAGGCGTTCTTGAATGCATTGAAGCGGATGGGAGATCGTAGCAAGTTTCCGGCAGACATTTTCTGCGATAATGCCACTAATTTTGTCGGGGCATCAAATCAACTGCTTGACCTCAAAAGGTTTATGTTCAAAAAGGAGAACCCAAGATGAAATTTATAAATTTTGCGCCACAGATTTTATTAATTTCCACTTTATTCCTCCCAGGGCACCTCATTTCGGAGGCCT